CCCCAAAACCCCAAAACCCCAGTCGTCTTAGAAGTTTACTATCAAGGGAATTATATAATAAAATAGATATTTTAAAAATTAATTTAATAATTATTATAAATCTTTTCTCTATAATTATCATAAAACAATAAAAATTTTAATAATTTCCAAATAAAATGAAAAAATTTGTATCTTTAGCTGGAGCTATTTTACTTGGAACAGTAATAGCATCAGAGACTAAAACTTCAGAGTTGAATGCCCAGCAAGACTTAGATATACCATTTGTTACTACAGTAAAGCCTGTTCATTCAGCTTTGAAAGATCACAGCAAAGTAAAAAATAAGTCAAGATAAAATGCTGAATCAGTAGGCAAGTCATCCCTTACATCCCATGATGAACTGGTTGAGTGCAATGAGTAACATGATGAAGATGATAAATTGTCGATTGGCAGCGGCTAATCAAAAACATCAGGCGACGTATCAGTAGATTCTAGCTCAGTTAAATCTGACAAACAAATAAATCATTTAAAGAAGGAACTACACAAAAGACCAAGATCATAAGACCAGTAAGACTCTGATAATTATACTAAGAAGATTTATAAAGAAAAGAGATACTCATCCACTAATACTTATCCTAAAGATTAGGTTGAAGTTAAAGAAATCAGGGGTAGAGAGCAATAGAAATACCTTTAAAAGTATAGAAGACCATATAACATTAATTCACAAAAACTCCCAAAAACTAGAATGCCATTAATAAGACTTCCTTAATATACTTTTGATAGTGATGATGATGAAGATGACGATGATGAAAGTATGAGCATCATGTATACTCCAAAGTACTAGTAAGCCTATAATGTGCACAAAGCTACTTTATCATATCAAAGACCATAGAAACGATCGTCATTATATGTCTAAACACCAAACTTAAATTATAATAACGGTTAGTTCGTTAAGCCCTTAATAAGAGGAAATGGAAAATTAATGGTCAAAGATGCGATAGATGATTAATCTAAAGAACAATTCATAAGATATTCAAGAGGATTAGATGCTTCATCATTACCATTATATGTAATGAATAGCTAGAATCACTAAGGCTAGGTTTCTTTTTAAAATCATCAAGTGATGCTTCATGATTATTTAGACAAAATTTAGCCACTTAGAAATTCAAGAAAACTCGATGATCTTGCCGTATAAATGCCATATAAGTAAGAATATTTTCCAAAAATCTTTATGTTATTTAGTACTTATATTAAAAAGGATAGACCAGCTAAAATTTTAGATACTAGCTATGGAATGAATTTTGGTGATTGGGAATCTTAAAAACATAACTCTGATCCTAGCAGATTGTAGCAAAAAATGCTGTATAAAAGTATTTTAAATTCATAGTATTGATGCTTTTGACAAAGCTGTTTAGAAATTGAGCCAAAATACCAAAAAATATGATAAATTGATTCAAACTATATTTCATTATTTAAACTTGATAAAATAATTTACGTCTATCATCAGATAAACTAGTTTTGGGGTTTTGGGGTTTTGGGG